CATTTTCGTTATTACTTTTTTTTATAACAATATTTGCGATATTGCTTTTGAAAATATTATATATATATCAAGGTTATAATTGAAGATCGGTAACCAAATAAAGGCATCATTCAGCCCGTAAAGCTTTCATCATTTCTTGAGGAATTCTGTGATTCAAGTTCAGGTATTTTATCTCTCTTCAACCTTAGCTCGTCTTGATATGTTTTACCTCCTTGCTTGTAAAGAGGAATTTGAGAATTTTGCATTCGTGTTTTGAGGGAAACTGAAGAAACCAATTTTCATGGGATTTTGCAACTTTGCCCCCCCCCCCCCCCCCCCATTTTTTTTTGATTAATATGTTCTATCTATGTTTTATGTCTCAAGATCTAAGTTGTGACATGATTTGCATTACAATCCTAATTGTACATGGGTTTTGTTGAGAAAAATCATTTGTTGCAGTTTTAGTATTTGATTTTGTATATGCGGTTTTTTGTTTTACATAGGTTTTAAGAACTTTATGTATATTCATAAAACCATGATATTTTGAAAATTGTGTTGTATGAGAGAAACGGTAGAATACATGTTCAAACCTAAGTATTACTGGAATATATATAAGCACATTTAAGCTAATTTTCTCATAATGCCTATGTTAACGTAATCTTGGTGCGTGCAAACCTCTTCCTTATCTTGATTTTTTTTTTCTATCTTTCAGATTAATTATAGCTCCAATAAATCTCTTCCTTTGATTCTTCGCTTCACCAACAATATGACCAGCTCCGCTCAAACCGCGACTCAACAACTACCCTTTGACTTAATCACGAATCTCTTCAAGTTTCTCTTCGAAACAGGCGAGAATATAGTAGATATCATATTTGAAATCATCAAAGATGTGGGTAAGAACAAAGAACTACGTTCTTTGGTTAGTTCTTTGGTTGATATGTATTTAGAAAATACCGCCGAGACCTTAAATTTACTCAATAGCGTGGCTAATTTCGTTGAGAGTGCAAAAAATAGCCAGCATATCATTCGAGTTGCGGTGAAACAGTTTGAAGCAGAGTCGGAGGACACGGATGTGGGAGGAAGGAAGAAGAAGTATGCGAAAACGTTAGAGGTGCTGAATAAGTTTGAAGCCACGGGAGATCCTCTTGGTGAAGAGTTCGCTGCTCATTACAAGTCTGTCGCCAACCGGCAGGTTAAGCTTCTGGAGGTGTTGTGTGAGCAGAGACTAAATCTTGATAAGAAACTGAAGAATGCTGAGAAATTGAAGAATTGGTCGTATGTGGTTTTAGGGGGTGTGGCCTCTGTTCTTGTTGCACTCGCAATGATAAGTCCTGGAGGTCCTCAGATTGGTCAAATGGCTCGAACTCAATTGGCGATAGCGTCCCCACGAATGCAAACTAGCCGAGTATGGATCGACGAGATGTTGAACAAGTACGAGAAAACTGTGAAGACATACAAACATTTGCTTACATCGACGGAAACGAGTACGAAATACAACAACGGAGCGACGGAAACCATAAATTCCCAAGTCGATAAACTAAGAGGGAGGATCTCGGATATTTTAGAGCATGTGGACTTTGCTCTGGAAAGAGAAGAAGAGGAGGAGGCCACGAGACTTGTGATGCAAGACATCATGAGGAACGTAGAGGGTTTTACTGAGAAAATCGAGGAAGTTGGTGAATATGCGGCTGAGTTCACCAAAAAGATTGTTTCTACGAGAGCTCAGGTTTTTGAACACCTCAAAAATTCAATGTGGGAAAAGTAAGTATATGTATCTTGATTGATGTTTGTGTGTAAGACCTTTATTTTATGTTTAAATCATTTAGTGCATTGTGCTTTACCATCCATTGTACTTTTATTTTGACTACTATATGAAAGAACTGGTGTTTAAGTACCTCATTCGAACAAATATATATACCTCAAGATAAAGTAATATTGTTGGGATTACGTGTAAGGAGACAACTGAAGATATCCAAGAGAAAATTAGTTGCTGTTGTGATTCCTAGGAGCCATAATTTCACACCAATTCAAGATTCTACTCTTATACATAACGACACTGAGCCTTAAATCTACTAAACCTCAGCGCATAACTGTGGTAATTTTAAGAATTTTGCATTGGAGGCAATCTTATCGTAACATAATGATCAAGTTTCTAGTGGAGAAACCATATCTGGCTTGAAACATTGCAAGCTCCCTGAAGCAGTTCCAGACACAAGAAAATTTTTAGCAAGCTCCCTGCAATTACAATACAGCCAAGTATTATACCAAGGAACAAAAGAAACGCAAGAGTAATGGAGAACTCATTACAAATAAACAAACAACCTGAGGAAAAGGAATCATGAGCATTGCCCACTCAATCTCAAACCATAAGGAAACATCTATACCAGTGACAAGAATTACACACACTAGACCAACCAAGCTAAATGACATTAACTTAATTAGGGAACCAAGAAAGGGTATGAGCTTACTAAGTTCGTACATGTCTGGTTGACATTCAGTATTTTAACTTATGGGTGACTGTTTAATCGTGCTACTTGATTTTTGTTTAGTCGAGGAGGTTATTTATGTATTGGTTAATTTCTGTTTTCGAATTAATATTAGTTACTTTATCCAAAAAAAATATTAACATTGACTATATATTCCAACAACCAATTATCTATTGGCCATAAATTGGTGTACTTCTCGGAGCAATTATCCTATGCGGCTTTCAGAATCTTCGGCTCACATACCATCAAAATTCTGTGAATCTCTCAATAAATCGTTTTGACACTCCATCTCCACCTAATATGACCAAAAAACAGAGAACATAGCACAAAATTTTAAAGCTACTAAATTCATTCATTGGATGACTGAGATTTCAGTTTAATCTACTGAGATTTTTGTTTAATCGTGATCGTGCTATTGAAATCTCTGGTTTCTATTTAATAGGAGAAAATGATTTCTGTTTTTCGGATATCAGGGTGTTTTTTACTCTAATAGTTTCTTTTTTCTTCCGTATGGATTGCAATAGAAATGGTTAAACAATATACAGTCAAACAGGGTCAAAGGAAATCACACTACAAAGCTAAACTAAAGCATTAAAACCTTTCTTGTCATAAAGAATTTGTACCAAGTTCATACATGTCGGTTGATATTCAATATTTAAACTTATGGGTGACTGTTTAATCGTGGTACTTGATTTTTGTTTAGTCAAAGAGGTTGATTTATGTATTGGTTAATTTCTTTTTTAAAATTAATATTGGTTAATTTATCCAAAAAATTAACATTGGTTATATATTCCAACAACCAAACCAGATTGAAGATCATTAGTAGGGAATGAGTACTTTAGGACATTGCCTAGGAATTGAAATGAGAAAACTATGAAAAGGTGGTTTAATTAATTATGTTTATTTTCTGGTGAGATTTTTTTGATTCCTTAAATTTCAATAATTTCCTATACTCATGTTATTTGAAAGTAACTAGGTTACTACCCGCACATTTGTGTGGGGTAATATTTGTAAAAATATTTAAGAGAAATTTTATAATTTATCAAGTTTTGAAAAATATTTGGGTATCTAAAAATGTTCAGTCGAGATTTTAAAAAAATTTAGTTATTTTCGTTTTTAATTTAAACTTATACAAAGCGAGATTTACATTTACTTTCATCCGAAGTTTCAAAAAATAATATTTTTTCTTCGTTTGTATAATATGTGTATCAAAGCTGTTGCAAAACAATAAATACTCATAGATCTAAAAACTGAAATAATTTTTATTTCTATTAATAAAACTGGTAATTAATTTAATTTACTAAACCAATAAAATTATCAAATTATTTGTGATTGGTTCGATTTAAATTTGATTTAATTAATTTAAGTAATTTAAAATAAAGTGTTTGGTAATAAAGATAGCACACAAAAATAAATCAATAAAAATATTAGAAAAAGAGATAATGGAACCTAAGTTAATGCTTCCTGTTTAATATATGTTAGATACTTTATAAAAAAATAAAGATTCACTTAAATTTTCTATCATATTTATTTAAATCTAATTGCTTAAATTATATACAGAAAACTTAAATATTAATTGCAGATTTTTAAAACATTAAATGCAATTAAAAATAAATAATTAGAAAAGTTATTGTTTGGTTGCAAAAAAGACTGTATTTGGTTGCAAGAATAAATTATTTAAGTTTTTAACAATTATTAAAATTTTAAAAATTTAAAATTCTGAAATAATGACATATAAGCCAATAATATTTCCTGTTTAATATATGTTAGATGTCAAATTATCTATCATCTAGGACTTTCGCTCATATTTCAAAATTTGCAAGAATCATTGTAAAACAGGAGAGTTGTGGTTGTGAAATGTTGGAATATATAACAAGAGAGTTAAGTAAGTCGAAGAGACCAACTTGTTGATAACAACTGTAAGATGTTGTATAACATGTGGGAATTGATTCAGTGATGTGTCTCTGCACCAAATTAAGGCTATCCAACAAAGATAATTAAGAGTAGCGCCATATATTAAAAAAAAAACTTCTCAATAATAAGAAAAATTGATACATGATTTTAGGTCGCGCATGTAGAGACTACAACGAACACAATATTTGTATCTACAAAATAGCTTCTTGTATTCCCCATTTTAGAGTCTTCTCTCGTAATTGTAGCTCTCGCATGAATTATTTCAACGCAATCTTCTCTAGAGACTAGAGCTAATGAAGTGACTAACAAAATCTACGTAACAATTTTTTTAAGGTAAAATTTACCAATACAGAGCATGTAAATTTTTAGGGTTTATTATTAGCTAAGTCGTAGCACTTTCACAAGTTTCATTTGTTGTAGTAACATGTTTTTGATCTAATCAAGTGAGTAGTAATTTAAAAGATCCGAAGCATAACAAGATTCTCCAGAAGATGCTTGAGAAGGACACAAGTTAAAGGAAATAACAAGAGAGGAAAAAGGCAGAAACTTAGGCAAGATATACACCATCCGCTAGATTATTTCTCTCTAATTCCTTTCTCTTTCAAAATTTAAGGAAGAGACATGGAGGATGTTGTGGGACTTCTTAGAATCCGAGTTAAAAGAGGGATTAATCTTGTTAGTCGAGATTCTCTTGGCAGCGACCCTTTCGTTGTCATAACCATGGGTCCTCATGTACTCTTTCTACCTATTTTTAATTTGATCTTCTTGGTTTCGATGATCGCTTCTTGTTCATGTTATGATCGATCGAAACTCTTGTCCTCTGACTCCGAGATGAATTGTTAAAGCCCCATTACATATATTTTTCTCTGTAGAAACAGGGTAGATTTCTATTTCTAAAAGTCAACATTACCAACAAAAACCAAAACTTTTGGGCATTTTGGAAACTAATCCGAGTGTGTGAATGCATTTTAAGAGACCTCTGATGTGATGTTTTCTTAATTTGGCCTCAGAAACTGAAGACTCGTGGTGTGGAAAACAACTGTAATCCAGAGTGGAACGATGAATTGACGCTTGCAGTCAAAGATCCTAATGAATCTGTGAATCTTGTGAGTTACTTATTGATCTTGGTGAAATATTTAGTTTTACTTGTGGGGTTGGTTGATGATATAAAAACATTCAAAGCTAGCTTCTCTCTAATCTCTACTCAAGAGAAATCGCCAACGTCTCTTAAATCATGAGTCTTTGCTTTTTCAAGAAGTTACTAAGTTTCTGATTGTTTTTCTTTTTCTTAACAAAATTATATATATTCTTACAGGAATTAAGTGTATGATAAATATTCGTTCACCCCGCATGACAAGATGGGAGATGCGGAAATAGACATCAAGCCGTTTCTTGAGGCTCAACCAATGGATTCAAGAACTCTCTGATGGAATCGAGATCCGTAGTGTGAAGCCGAGTAGAGACAACTGCTTGTCTGAAGAGAGCAAAATCATCTCCAGCAACGGAAAGATCGTCCAAGACATGATTCTTGGGTTGAGAAATGTTGAAAGCGGTGAGGTTGAGATTCAAATCGAGTGGACCAATGTCCCAGGTTCAAGGGATCTTTGAAGTAGATATGAAATAGAGCAAGTGTGTGAATTAGTTCATGATCAGTGTGATAAGTGCAGGCTGTGCATTGACAATGTCGATACGCAGCTCATAACCACATTAGAATCCCATATTTTTGACTTAAATTGATTATTAGAGGATGGCGTGACCTTTTCTAAGACGAAAGCAAACAAGTGGTGTGAATTGATAAGTGAAAGCGATGACGTATGTGGGATTTTATTCAGCTATTTTTTTTTAATTACTCAGAATAAATCCTAAATTTATAAAAGGGTTCAGATTAATCTATGGAGAGGTACAACATATGAATAAACTTTTTTTTGGAATATGTAAATAGGTCGGAAGTAAAGACTCATACTATGTGGATGTACAAGAGAATGTATTTTAGTTCCATACAGCAGGTGAATTGAACTTGAGATGTGTTGACTGACTTTAGCTATTGCCCCTTCTAATACGAAAGCAATCCGGTGGTGATGAGAACGCGTCTTTCTAGTACGAAAGCAATCCGGTGATGACGAGAACGCGTATGGTTTTAACGTCTAATTTAAAGGTTGACTGATTTTTACTGTTGACTTAGAATGTGTTATTGATTCTTGTATTTTAATAGATTTGAGAATCTAAACTAAATTCAGTGTTATTGGTTTTTGTATTTTAAAATTTATATTAAAATAAAGTATTATTGATTTTATAATTTTAAAATCTAAATATTATAAGTATTTTAATTGAACTTGAATGGATTTGGAAACAATTTCATAACTAAAATATAAAGATTCAAATATAAGATTTAACTTTGATATTTAAGTGGATTTGTTTTTGCTGATTTTGATATCAATAGTTTTATCAAATCAAAAAAAAAAAGTTTTATCAAGAAAATAAATGCGACCAGCATCACTAGTTATATTATATAGGTAGAAGAAGTCGACAATTTGGTAGATTGATTTTTCTACCTCACATTTACAAGGTTGATTGACTGTGGACTTACGGTTATAATCGTAACTAGATGGATTGCCTCTCACATTGACATTTTAACATGCCAACAAGATTTGCTGATCTACTTTTTCTTGTAGCCTCATATCTCCATGGTGGACAGCAGTGGCGGATCTAGGCTGCATTTTGGTAGGTGGCACAATCAATTAAACAAGAGAATTAACTATATGAGCTACAATATTTCATAAAAATTGGTTTTAAAAAATTAAAATATGTGTGGGGCACATGCCCCATACTCCTTCAAGCTGCATCCGCCACTGGGTGGACTTGACTGACTATTTGATTTTGGGATACATATATGTATATCAAGGTTATAATTGTAACTAGCCAGTACTAAGGTTTCTACATATATATTTCATTCATTCACAGACTCTAAACCTTGTAACACATCCTTGTGTCCTTGAGGAAGATTCTGATTTAAGTTCAGATAATTTTCTCTCTCGTCAAACCCCAGCTCATCTTGATAATGACTTTTAAGTATACTTGATTATTATATAAGCACATTTAAGCTAATTGTCTCATACTTCTCAATTTATAATATATATATATATATATATATCATGTTAACTTAAACTTGGAGAGTGTAAAACTCTGTCCTAAAATGTTTTCCTTTTCTTGATTTTTTTTTTTTCCTTTCAGATTATAGTCGAATAATAATATCAATGGCGACCTCTGACGAGAACGAAACCAACCGTGTCCTAACAAATATGCTGTCTTCGAAAGGCTCAGAACACCTGAGTTCCTACATATCCGCTTGTCGAGAAGACCCATACCTCAAATCCTTTGATTCTTCGCTTCACCAACGGACCAACAAAGTGATCAGCTCGCTGGCCGCTCCAACAAAGACTCAAAATTCACCCCTAGACTCACTCATTAAGGTCTACAAATACCTATTTGAACAAAGCCAGGATATGGTACGGATCATTATGGAAAGCAAGGAAGATGTGGGTAAGAACAAAGAACTAAGTGCTTTGGTTGATTTGTATTTAGAAAATACCGCCGAGACCTTAAATTTATTCAATACCGTGGATAAATTCGTTGAAAGAGCAAAAATTAGCCAGCTTATCATTCGATTTGCGGTACAACAGTTTGAAGCAGAGTCGGAGGTTCATAGGACGAAAAGATCATTTTTGAGTTCCTTATACTCATTCTTGCTAGCAATAATTATAAGTAAACTGGGTATTTACCTTATCAATATCTCAAACCAACGATGGTGTGTGGGAGGAAGTAAGAAGAAGACGAAGAAGTATGAAAAAACGTTAGAGGAGCTGAGTAAGTTTAAGGCCATGGAGATCTTCTTGGTGAAGAGTTTGCTACTCATTACAAATATGTCTTGGCGCAGCAGGTTAAGCTTCTGGGGGACTTGTGTGAGCAGAAAGGAAAGCTTGGTAAGAAACTGAAGAAGGTGAAGAAATTGAAGTAATTTTCGTATGCGTTTTTCGGGACTGCGGTTGCCTCTGTTTTGGTCGTATCGATAGTTTCACTCGCAGCTGTAAGCGCACCTTTGGCTGCGGGTGCAGCTCATCATTTGAGTCCATTGGCTGCAGCTCAATTGGCTCAATTGGGTCAATTGGCCCGGCCTATTGCATCTACAGGGACATGGGTCAGCGAGCTGTTTAACAAGTACGAGAAAGATATGAATACACATAAAGATATGCTTACATCGACGGAAGAGGGTCCGAAAGTCAACAAAGGAGCGACGGAGACCACAAATTTCCAAGTCAAGGATCTAAGAGGGAGGATCTCGTTGATTATGAGGTATGTGGACTTTGCTGTGGAAAGAGACGAAGAGGAGGAGGCCACGAGACTTGCTATGCAAGAAATCGTGAAGAACGTAGAGGAGTTTACTAAGAAAATCGAGGAAGTTGATGAAATTGCGGCCAAGTTAAGCAAATTGATCGTTTCAGAGAGAGTTGGAGTTCTTGAATGTAAATACTCAAGTTCGATCTACGAAAGAACTAGGGTTTATGGATTTAAAGAGAAGTCTTTTATTAGAAGAAGTCGGAGCTTGAATGAATACACGGGGGTTTAAGTCGTCGGAATAAGATCGCCGACCTAAACTTTTATGGAAAGTAAATCGAAAGCTAGAACAATCAGATTGCTTAATTTTGCCCTAGGTCTTGATGGATGATTTTTGGATCCTCTGAGAAATCGAGGAGATCCCATATTTATAGCCGATCAGGTCGGTCTTCTATGTCGATTTGGAATAGGAAAGTTTCCTTGCCGATAAGACTAACTTCCGTTTTTCCCGGGTTCGTCCGATAAATGGAAGATTTCCATTTATTTGGCCGACCTGAGCCCTGTGAAGTGGGTCGACCAGAATTCATATCAGGCTTGTAGAGATGGTACGAATCTCATCTCTAACATTGAATGCATCGCCAATTCAAAAGAAAAATAATATAGTACAATAATATCAATGCCTTGAAACTTTATTGATGTTTGTTTGTTTTTTTTTTTTAGACAAAATGATATTTGTTGTTTAAGGTCTTTACTTTATTTGTTTAAATCATTAGTCGTTGAGCTTTACGATCCATTGTACTTTTATTTTGTAGCGTTGACTAGTATATGAAAGAACTGGTGTTTAAGTACCTCCAATTGTACTCTTATTATTACTTATTTTACAAAAGTAATAATAAGACTAGAACATGTAATGAGACCACGTCCACGTGCTACGGGATTGTAGTAGCACTTTTTGAGTTTAGTTAAGTGAGTAACACACAACACTTTTGTCACTACGTAGTACGTACGCAGATTTTGCCAACAAAAATCTTAAAAGGAAAATCGAAAATGGCCTAAACCAAAGATAATCCCAATGACAAGCCCAACGGTGATAGTCTTTAAAAAAATATATATAAACAAAGAGAGTGCAAGTGCATTAATGACAAAGACTCGTATGGAGAAAGCTTATTCAATCGAGCTGTCCAATTAATTTGAGATTTCACTTCTTTGTATAAATAGAAGAACAACCATTTCTAAAATCTCATAGGTTGAATACGAAAAAAAAAATATTCATATATATACGAAAGAATCTCCTTCAATTATTGTTTCTAACACTTCTTTCACTGTTATCATGTATTGCGCTAAATAATCGTTATTCTTCTGGTTAGCTAATTTAAAATTTAGTTTTTAATTTTGAACTAAAATAAGAGTATCATTTACATGTATCTTAAACTGGTTTAGCAAGAATAAATTAAAGACTACGGCAAAATAAGAGTGCGTATATTCCATCATCGATATTTGATATCAATAGAAAAATGAGAGATTCTGGACCGATACATTGAGAAGAAATAGCGCAAATATAAGAACAGATCGCATTCCATTATATTTTTTTATAGCAATTGAAAAATGAGACATTGCTTACCAAACGATCTTTTAATATCAGATCTCGCCTGCCACGATAAATTTTTTTAAGCAAAAGATTCTTATACCAATAGGATTTAAAAGTTAAAGTTTCCAAATCTATTTGTTTATTGCTAAAACTGAAAAGAATATTTTAGAAATCGTTGACTCTGCTTTGCTAAACGTTTTTTTTGTTTAATATTAATTTACCTTATTTAATTCATAAAAAAAAATAACACTGGTAAATTTGAACTTGGCTTGTCTATATATATGTAGCTTCTCCCAGCTGATCTAGGCAGATCTTCCTCAAGGTAAATCCTTTTCTTTTGCTGCAAAACTATTCATAGTAAGTAGCTTTTCTGTGTTAAAGGATCCGTAACCCTAATTTCAATATCTACATGGCTCTATATATATATATATATATATATATATATATATATATATATCTGAACAAAGCAAGCATTATTATATTACCAGGGACTCTGTCATGAATACTTTTAGTATGAATGGAGGAGATGGAGAAAATAGCTATACTAATAATTCCGCTTACCAGGTATGTACATGTTCATGAGTTTAATTCGTTCTGATAAAAACTTTCTAAGTACTAATTCAATTTCAGTAATTTTAATTTTTTCACTATCAATATTAGCAAATGGCAATGTTTTTAGTTTTAACCATCAAAATTATAATTTGTTTTTGAAAACAATTTACTATTGATACTGGATAATTAGTTTCTTCTATCATTTAAATGTAGAGAGTAGAGACCACCAAAAAGTTGCAGTTTTTGAATTATCATTTTGGATCCGATATCCTATTCATTTCAAAAATTCAGGGGTATAATTATGATTATATCGGATCTGATAGTTATACCAACAAGAACTCTAGCATTGATTTTGGGTTTGGAGCACGATCCCAATCATTTTCCTATTTTGACTTTGCAGAAAACTGTTTTAACTGAAACACAATTGGTGGTAGCAGAGAACATCAGAGAGATGTTAGTGGAGTTGAGTTTTCCTGAGTATATCAAAGTGGCTGACTTGGGATGTTCATCCGGACCAAACACGTTCTTAGCCATGTCCGGAGTGGTTAACACAATCATAGATTCGTACCAAGAGGAAGGTCGAACTGACTCACCAGAGATCGATTGTTTCCTAAACGATCTTTCAGAAAATGACTTCAACACGACCTTCAAGTGGATCCCTTCCTTCCACGAGGATCTGAAAGCAGACCTCAAAGGAAGGTGCTTCGTGTCGGCAACCCCAGGATCTTTTTACTCGAGGCTCTTCCCAAGAAAGTCTCTCCACTTTGTTCATTCATCATATAGTATCCATTGGCTTTCTAAGGTTCCTCAGGGGCTTGATAACAAGAAGAGCGTGTTTATAAATAGCTCAAGCCCTCAAAACGTATACAAGAGTTACTTGGAGCAGTTCCAAACCGATTTCTCCTCGTTTTTGAAAATGCGTTCAGAAGAGATAATGCCTAATGGACGTATGGTTCTTGCTTTAATTGGTAGAAACGCTTCTGATCCTTTATACAGAGACTGTTTCCACATGTGGTCATTGTTATCTGATTCTCTTCTCGACCTCGTCTCCGAGGTACGAGCTATATAACTCCTATATCATTGATGCAACATAAATGCTAGGAGCCTAGGATTCTAACATCTAAAATTAGAAAGAATAAAAAAATGTGATATGTAAAAGAAATTTTGTTAGTCTAATAACTGCTAATTAGTTTTGAATTAGAGATCCATAAATTTATGTACATATATAAAAAGACCGTGTTAGGATCACGCACATCTAAATTTCCAACTTCTTGAAACCTAAAGAATAAAAAATAATGTCTTAGAGAAATGTATGGACAGGGAGTAGTGAAGGAATCAGAGGTGGATGCATTCAACGTGCCGTTCTATGATCCAACCGAAGGAGAGGTGAAGGATGTTGTTGAAAGCGAGGGCTCCTTTGAGATCAATATGATCGAGACACGTGGATTTATTTATCAACCCGCAAGTAGTGAAAATGTTGTCGATGAATCATCAGATCGAACTAAACAATGGCAAAAGATTGCAAACAGTGTAAGATGTATAAGTGAATCAATTCTGGTTCCTCATTTTGGAGGAGCTATTATGGATCGCTTGTTCCACAGGTTCGCAATACACGTTGCCAAGCATTTTGGTGGTTCAACTCGACTGCGCAAAACGACGGTCAACCTCGTCGTTTCGTTGACTAAAAAATAAAGATCCTGTTGTGTCGTGGTATTTGTCTTTAGCTATAATTACGTATTTTATATTCAGTGGTATGTTATCACAACAGATCAATTGCAGTTTCTGGTTTACGGTTTAATTCCGTTTTTTTTTTTAAACTGTTTTGTTGATATTGCGTTTTGGAATTGTGTTTTTCCAAAATAATGAATAATGAAGAAACTTGCCACAAATATTTTTAAAATTTAGTAAAAAATATAAGATATTCGTGCGTTTAAACTTCTATTGATGTTTAAGATATCCATTGTACTTTTATTTTGTAACGTTGACTACAGTATGAAAGAACTGGTGTTTTAAGTTCCTCAAAATAAATTAAAATTGTTGGTATTGAAGTTAAACTTAATTTTAGGTTAAGTTTAATTTTGAGTTGATAAATTAATTATTTCTTATTATATTAAGCCCAAAATTAAGCACAAGTTCTAGAATCTCTCTAGAAACATCATTAAAAAGTATCATCTTTTTTAAGTGTTGTAAAAAATTCTAGATATCGTAAACAAAAATTTAGATATTATTGTAGAGAATTCTAGTGATTAAGAGAATGTTTGTAAAATATTTCATAATAAGTAAAGTCTATAAGTAGCCCATTCCCATCCCTTGTAAACATGAGAAGTTGAACAAGTAAAAAAAATGTTCTATATAAATTTTCTTATTTTTTCTTAAGTTCTTTTAAATTTTCTCTTAAATGTTATTCCATCTTTCTATTTATACTTAAAGAGTTTGTTTCTTTCGGATCTTTCGAATATTACGATTTTGGGTTACTGTTAAGCACTATTTGGTGTTTCTTTACAGTTGGGATTACATGTAATGAGGCTAATAATTTACTTATTACACTATACTAATATTTACCATTATAAAAGTAATAATCAGATTAGAACATGTAATAGCACTATTTTATAAAAGTAATAATGAGACCACGTCCACATGCTACTGGACTGTAGTAGCACTTTTTGAGTATAGTAAAGTGAGAGTAACGTAACGTTACTTTTTAGTTTTTCTTCTTCTAGTCAGCTAATTTAGAATTTAGTTTTTATATTTCAGCTAACATTTGTCAATATTTTTTTTTTCCAAATTTCTCTGTTACTTTTTAAATATCATCAAAAAGTTACTATTAAATATTTCTACCAGATACTGTCAATATTATTTTTTGGACAAATTTCGCCGTTAACATTTACATAGATCTTAAATGGGGGAATTGCTGAATATGACTCAAAACTTGAGTTGAAATGCAAAACTAGATTCTCTATTGCATGTTTGACAAAAATAACTCACAGGAATAGTGAAATTACAACTTTAACCCTTATGACCAAACAAAAAAACGCTAACATCAATTACTATTTTATCTCAGAGAAGTCTACTCGAGAAGTTAAGTAGACTTCTTGGAGATCTACAAAAATAATATGTTTACAATTAATTTTAAAAATCATAAAAGATAATTTGATAAAAAAAAATTAAATATATAACAACAAATATATAATTTTTTACACCTATTAAAAATAAAATTTGACAGAAAATAATCAATTTACATCATCATAGATAAATTATGATAAAAATCAATACTAAGAGACTTCTCGAGTAGACTTCTCGGTTTCTCGAGTAGACTTCTCCAAAAAGTCTACTTAAACGAATTTTTTCTACATATATAAGGAGAGTTTAACCTAATTGTATTATCAATAAAGTCTCTCTATATCTAAAAAAACGTCTCTCTCTCTTCTCTCTTCTCTCTGGCCATGAATTTCTTCTCCTTCCTCTCTTGCTATCAATATCCTCTCCATCTTCTCTATCTTGCATTCAACCTCCTCTCACTTGCAGGTTATAGTAGTGGTAAGCAAATCTGAGCTTTTGTGTTCCTCTTTTTGTTTGCTTTGTGTTCATATTGCAAATCTGAGCTTATTATTATAGATTTGAGCTTATTGTTGTAGATCTAAGTTTATTTTTGTAGATCTGAGTTTATTGTTGTATAAATTTTGTAGATTTTGTTAATTTTTTTGTTATTATTGTAGAGCTGAATTTTGTTGATTTTTGTACAGATCTGAATGTTATAAATATAGTAGATTATTATTATAGATCCGAGCTTATTATTATAGATTTGAGCTTATTGTTGTAGATCTAAGTTTATATTTGTAGATCTGAGTTTATTGTTGTATAAATTTTGTAGATTTTGTTGTAGATCTGAATTTTGTTGCAGATCTAATTTTTGGTTATTGTTGCAGAGCTGAATTTTGTTGATTTTTTTGCAGATCTGAATGTAGACTTCTCGATCTCGAGTATACTTCTCGATCTCGAGCAGACTTCTCAAGCAGACTTCAGTTGCATACATAATTTTGAGAGATTTTAGTTTAGTAGTAATTTTTTATGCCAGTTTTAAGATTTATAATTAGTGATCCTTAAATGTTTGTTTGTTTAGAGGGTTATTTTCTATGTAATGTTGAATTGCATTGAATGTTTTGTATCAAATTCCTAAATTATCTATGTTTATCTATTCTAAAAAATAGACTTCTTCTGTCTCGAGTAGACTTCACTTCTTACATAACTTATAAGTGATTCAGAGAGACATTTCTCCCATTTATATCATATAACTTGTCAACTGAGTAGACTTCTCTTGTCTCGAGTAGACTTCTCCTGTCTCGAGTAGACTTCTAAAAGACATTAATTTTACATAACTTAAAAGTGATTCAGAAGGACATTTCTCTCATTTATATCATATAACTTGTCAACCGAGTAGACTTCTCTTGTCTCGAGTAGACTTCTGAAATAGACTTCTCCTGTCTCGAGTAGACTTATAAAAGACATTAATTTTACATAACTTAAAGGTGATTCAGAGGGACATTTCTCCCATTTATATCATATAACTTGTCAACCGAGTAGACTTATCTTGTCTCGAGTAGACTTCTCCTGTCTCGAGTAGACTTCTAAAAGACATTAATTTTACATAACATAAAAGTGATTCAGAGGGACATTTATCTCATTTATATCATATAACTTGTCAACCGAGTAGATTTCTCTTGTCTCGAGTAGACTTCTCCTGTCTCGAGTAGACTTCTAAAAGACATTAATTTTACATAACTTAAAGGTGACAACATTCGCCCTCCTTTGCTATTCGCCCTCCTTTGCCAACATTCACCAAGAAGCTCACCATGTGTGCAACCATCTCTTAAGAACAACATTCACCCTCCTTTGCTATTATCCACCTCGAACTGCCACACTGATTCACTCTTAACCCATTCTCCATAAACAGCCAGTATGTAAACCATTCTCTGTGAAAAATGAACAAAATCCAAACCACATTAGACATCAAAATTGAATAAGTAGACTTTTTTGAAAGTCGGATGAAGTCTACTTAGTAGACTTCTAGAGTAGACTAAGAAGTCTACTCTTATTAAGCTAAGTATCATATAAAACATGAAAAATGATTCGACTATGCCTATTAAATATAACCATGTCAAACTTATACATAAGCAAGAAAACTTAATAACAGAAGCTTATGATCACGAAAATCTTAAAAATTCGTTATATATTGTATAAAAATGATTTTTTTTTTTTTAAAAGTAGACTTCTCGGATAAAAGTAGACTTCTCGCAGGTTAGTTTTGCAATTGCCAAAAGTTTAATAGACTTCTCTATGAAAAGTAGACTTTTCGGAGAAGTCTACTTTCGTAAGTAGACTTCTCACAGGTTAATTTTGCAATTGCCAAAAGTTTAATAGACTTCTCTATGAAAAGTAGACTTCTCGGAGAAGTCTACTTTCGTAAGTAGACTTCTCGCAGGTCATTTTTGCAATTGAAAAATATTTGACTTTTTGGTCAATTGCAAAAATGACCTGCGAGAAGTCTACTTACGAAAGTAGACTTCTCCGAGAAGTCTACTTTTCAGAGTAGACTTCTCGGGGAAGTCTACTGACGAAAGTAGACTTCTCGGAGAAGTCTACTGTGCATAGAGAAGTCTACTTTATAAAGTCAAAGGTTGGTCAATTGCAAAATGACCTGTTCTAAAGAAGTCTACTCCATTTTTTTTTGTTATCAAAGGAAATGGAGTAGACTTCATTCGGACAAAAAAAAGTCTACTTTTTCATGCGGTCAATTGCAAAACTAACATGGACGTTGACTAGTAGACTTCATTCGGACCGAGAGAAGTCTACTTTCAGAGCATTTTCGTAAATAAGTGAGGAAAATGAAGATTAGTTGGTCATTTAGATTTTCGAAAATAAAAAAAATTAATTAAAAATAATGGCAATTTCGTGAATAACTGAAACTATAAAGAATTGTTTAGACACAAAATAGCAAATGTTGGGAAGGTGATTTTTGTGGGTTAAATTTGTAATTCAAATCAAATTTTAGGTGATTTTTGCAAGAATATCATCTTAAATTAGCTCAGCATTATAATTAAGAGTGCGTATTCCAATATTTGATGATGATAGCAATAGAAAAATGAGAGATTCCTGACCGCTACATTAATTAAGAAAGAATAGCGCAAATATGAGAGCTCGCATTGCATTATATATTTGATAGCAATTGAAAATTGAGACATCGCTTAATTAAACGATCATTTAATATAAGAGCTCGCCTGCCACGATAAATATTTTTAATAGGAACAGATTCTTATACCAATAATAGGATTTGAAAGTTTAAATTTCCCCTCCAATCAATAAAAGCAGTTAGTTCTTCAAAAAAAAGGTTCCAAATTTTTTGTTTATTGATAAAACTGAAAGCAATATTGTACTAATCGTTGACTTGCTTTACTAAACGTTTTGTTTGCTTAGTAGTTAATTTTAATTTACTTTATTTAATTCATAAAAAGACAAAATAAACACTGATATATTTAAACTTGACTTATCTATCATAACTATTATTTGAGAAACAAATTTATTAAAAAAATTATATGTGTCAACACCTTAAGAAAAGTTAATGCAAAACAATGCCACTTTATAAATGTGACCTGACAAATTTCCTAAAATAAACAAAATATTTTGATTTGTTAAGTTAAAAGTAAATAAATCTCATTTTTAAATAAGAAAAAACAGTTTATATCATATATGAATGAGTTTTTAATTATATAGCAATAATTTAAAATTATAAATAAAACAAAAAAAAAATAAACAGATAGAAAAATAAATTATGAGTATCTTCTTAGCTAACTTTTTATTATAATATTATATATATGAATAAAAATAGAAGTGAAAGCAAAAATAAATCTTTACGATTTTGGTTTAATGTAGTTTCAAGCTA